AGAATACTCGAGAGTGCATCGCATTGCATTGATTCGGGAGTGCATCGAGGGTACTGCCTTCAGTCCGAGTGGTATCAGAGCTACGAAAGAATAACAAGCTCGCTCATACCTGCGTCTCATGCATTTAGTGCCAGAATACTCGAGAGTGCATCGCATTGCATTGATTCGGGAGTGCATCGAGGGTACTGCCTTCAGTCCGAGTGGTATCAGAGCTACGAAAGAATAACAAGCTCGCTCATCAGAAAGGAGGACCCCCAAGCACGTAATTCTAGTCCAAGCTGTTGCAGTTGCAGAACCCCCAAGCACTACTGGGAACTCAATCTAATTCACATTAGTCAGATCAACTTCCGATTCTTTTGTTCGCACGATTCATTTGCCTGGAAACAAACTCTGCTTCTTTCCATCTTCCACTTTCTTCAAGTGCAAGTTTTAGAGCATATAAACAACTTGAAGAAACATGTGCACTGGCTCTTTCATTCATTTCGTACAACACCCTAAATGCCTCCGAAGCCCTTCCACTTAAACAAAGCCCACCAATCACCAAACCATAAACATCATCATTAACATTCTCACACTTATCCAAACTAAAAAGCAACATCTCTTTAGCCTCCAGGAATTTCTGGTTCTCACACAGAGATGGAATCAACTCCTCCATCTTCACGCGATAACCATTATGGTAAAGCAATCCAACAATCTTGAGAGCAGTGTCATTTAGGTTATCTCCAAACAAACTGCTGACAACATTCGTCGAAAGATCGATATTAGGGCGAATCTTCCTTTCCACCATCAAGGTGACCAATTCACCAGCTTCTTTAGCATACCGACTTTTCTTTGCCAATCCCGCGAGTACTGAATGGAATGTACCTGTGCTAGGCCGATGCCAAGTGTTCAACATTTTCCTAAAAGCCTCCCAAGCAAAGCCTATCTTCTCCTGCTGCATGAATCCCTCGATCAGTGTTTGAAAAGTTGCAGCATCTGGCACAAGGTCTCTTTTACCCATCGACACCAGCAGCTCATACCCTTCTCTCAATCGCTCCTCCTTGCAGTGGCCCAAGATCACTGTCTTAAATGCTGCCACATCTACTTTGGCTTGTTTATCCAACAACTGTTGAAGCAACATCCTTGCCTTCTCTGTCTTCCCATTCTGACACAAGTAGTCGAATATTGGGTTATAAGCTGCCAGCAGGGGAATGCCTCGCTTCCTGAACACCTCCTTCTCCAACAGCTCATCAACGAGCTCCTCAGCTCGTACAAACTCGCCTTTTTCACACAGGCCCTTTATCATGGTACTGTAAGTTGCAGAATCACGTTTCACTCTCATCTCCGCCATTCTTTCAAACACGTTAAGTGCATCGCTGATGCTGCCCAGGTTACAATGCGCAGCTATCAGGGTGTTAAACGTGCAAGTATCTGGCCTAAAAGTCAACTCTTTGCCACCATCATCTCCTGGTTCCATGATCCCCTTGACCAAATCCATCCTCCGTGCGTCGCAAAGCCCTTGGATGAGGGTATTGTATGTGATCTTATTAGGTTTGAGGCCGAGCGCCACCATCTGGTGGAAGAGCTCCACGGCCTCATCCGGGAGGAGTTTGCTGCAGTAGCCGCGGATCAGAGTGGTGTAGGAAACAACATTCGGTGCAAGATCGGAGCTTTTTGTCCGCATTCCGTTAAGGAGATTGTGGGCGATGCGGACCTTGCCTGCGCGGCAAAGGCCGTCGACAAGTGTGTTGTAGGTGACGACGTCTGGGGCGCAGCCGTGCCGCGGCATCTCATTGAAGAGGCGGAAGGCCTCGTCGACCATGGAATTGAGACAGAAGCCTCGGATGAGGGTGTTGAAGGTGCAGACATCGGGCCGGACTGCGGTGGCGAGCATCTCGTCAAAGAGGGCAGAGGCGGCGCGGGTGCGGCCACGGCGGAGGAGGGGAGCGAGGAGGGAATTGTAAGAGAAGACAGAGGGGAAGGGGATAAGGCGGAAGAGCCGGACGGCGGAGCGGAGATGGCCGGCGGCGGCGAGGCGGCGGACGAGGGCGTTGAAGGAGTGATCAGGGAAGGAGGATGGGGGGAGGGATAGGAGGAGGTCGAGGGCGGGGCGGAGAGCGCGGGAGCGGAGGAGGAGGTGGAGGGCCTTGGCGGCGGCGCGGGGGTCGAGGGGAAGGTGGTGGCGGGACCAGAGGAGGAGGGGACCGGCGGCGGAGGGGCGGCGGAGGAGGGAGAGGGAGCGGAGGAGGGCGGAGGGGGTGAGGTCGGAGGCATGGGAGCGGGCGAGGGCGGAGAGGGCAGCGTCGAGGGACGGGGGCCAATGGCCGGCGTGGTGGGCGTTGACGAGGTTAGCGATGGCGTGGGCGAGGTCGATGTTAGGGTCTGAGCTGAGGTGTGAAGGTCTGGATTCGATGGAGGAGGAGGTGGAGAAGGCAATGGAGGCGCAGCGGAGGGCACGGGCGCGTCCGAGACGAAGCATCGCATGGTGCTTCCGGTTGTAGTCTCCCCGGATCTTGAAGCACTTCTTCAGAAATAAAACTATTAAGAGAAGTACTTTTAATATCCATTTGAAATAACTTAAAATTATTACTATTAGCTTAGGCAAGGTGCATCCTTATGACTTCTAATTGTGCTAGAGCAAAGGTTTCTTTATAATCGATACTTTCTTCTTAATTGAAACCCTTGGTCACTAATCTAACCTTGTTTCTAACCACAATACCAAATTTCATCTTGCTTGTTTGACCCATTTAGTGCTAGTCATAAGTGCCCAACAAGCCAATCGGCATGTGTGACTTGATACAAAATCTTTTTTGCTTATTATATTTTTGGTATATATCACTTTATAACTATTGCATATATATATATATATATATATATATATATTGTGATGTCCTTGGATTTGTGCAATGGGAATCGGATCGTGATGAGATCACGAAAATGAAATCGATTCACCTTTAAACACATATCCTAAATAATCTCGGTCATAGGTTACTCGAGAGGGACATCGTGATAACCAGACAGATTTGTGTGCTATATACCCGTCCATATGATGGATACAGTTGGTCTCATAGCTGCTCGTGTAGGGACACTTGGGATACAGTACAGATGCTCATTGGAGAATAAGCTCACTGATTGATCCGCTTACGGAATGCTGGATGGTTGTTGATGCCTTATTGTCAGACAATGATTCCGTAGTCCTAGTGGTATATCTGGTCCTTAGACTTGAGACACCAAGGATGTCCTGTATGAGTGCTCCACTCTTTGATACTAGACTTATAAGTTTGGCTATCCTAGATCTAGTATAGCTGGTCATTGGGAGTGGTAGTCGACCTTACGAGGGCTATTGAGTGTCAATAAAGGATCATCCACTCTCGACGTCATGAGAGGACTATCCCATGTGTTCTTGCTCAGACAAATCCCTGGCCAGGGTCATTCGGGTTGAGAGAGAAAGAGTTTTCCGGGAGAATCCGATTAGAGCGAGACTTGAGTAGAAACCATATGGGTCTAACAACACCATGCTCGATATACGATCTCTGGGATATTAGATGGATGAGAGACTATAGGTACACGGTAATTGAGGACAGATAGGTCTAATGGATTTGATTCTCCTGTATCATCTAGGGACTACGACGTAGTGGCCTAGTACGTCCGTAGTCGATGAGTCAAGTGAATTATTATAGAGATAATAATTCACTGAGTTAGAAGGAGTTATGACAGGTATGACTCACGGCCAGCTCGATATTGGGCCTAGAGGGTCACACACATATGATAGGCATTGCGATGAGTAGAGGTTCAGATATGAGATATCCGACGGAGCCCTTGTCTTATTGGATATCCAATAAGCCCTTGAATTATTGGATCTCATGGACGAGATCCAATAAGAGCCCATGAGAGATTATTGGATAGAGATCCACTAATCTAAAAGGCTTGGGTTATTGGATGCAGATCCAATACCCAATAGGCGAAGATCCATTAGGGTTTGACAGGGGACTTCTATAAATAAGAGGGAATAAGAGGGATTTAGAGCCTCATAGGCTAGTGCCTTTGCTTGCCTCTCCTATTGTCCTTCGCCTCTCCACCTCAGAGCAGGCCTGGAGTTTTGAGGAGCTTTGTCGCAGCCCTACTGTGTGGATTGCTGCTAGAGAGGAGGACGCTTGACCTCTTTCACCCTCTCCTAAGGATATGCAAGGAAATAGGGATATACGATCTCCCTATGTATCACAATTTATTCTAAATGTGATTTTTCAGTTTCGCGGATTTTGCGCACCAATCATCGCATGATGACGAATATCTCTTTGGTAATCAGGGATTTTATTTTCTTGTTCTTCCGCTGCGCATGTGATGTCGCCCCCAAAGATTTTCCCAACAATGGTATTAGAGCCAGGTTGTTCGTGCGATAGATTGATTTTAAACTACGTGTGTTGTGTTTTGGAGAAGCTTTTGACGTCAAAATCGTTGACACAAAACCAGAAAAGGGCAGCAACTGTTGCTGCCCTCGCTGCCGTCGCAGATGACAGCACTGCCATTTGCGTGCAAGCAGGCAGCCTGCAACAACAGTCGCAAGGGCAGCGGCGCTTGTGGCCGCTGCTCCCGCGGGCAAAAACCCAGCAGGGGCGGCCGCCCGGCGAGGCAGCATCGCTTGCAGGCGCTGCCTCGCGGGCAGAAGCGCCCGCGGGGGCGCCCAGCTGTAGGGACAGCGCCGCCAGTGGGCGTGCCACCTACAAGCGAGGGCAGCGACCCCGCCCTCTACCGCTCATCCCACCGCCAGCAGGGTGCCGGAGGCGACGGCAACAGCAGCAGTATGGGAGGATGAGGGCATTAGGGTTTTCTAGGTAAAAGATAGTTTTGCCCCTAGGAATTTGAAAAATTTCAATTTCTATCTTTTGTCTAAATTATGAAAATACCCTTAGGAATTAAGAAATTTCTTATATGTCCCTGATTTCATAAAATACTAATTAATTAAAAAGTTTAGTTGATTATTATTTTTTATTATTATCTAGTAGTCCTACATGATGATGATTATTTATACATGTGATGTATGATGTGTGGACGGATGATCATAGACCATGTGATGTGTGTACTTGTGATTATTATTATTGGGGTCTGCGAGCCTCCATTATATTTCTCGTTTATTGTCGGGCCAGCGTGCCTATGATTAAGTTGTAATCACATGAGGAGGCGCAACGGGAGCGTGGATGCGATAGCGGGACCCACGAGACGGACGATCGCGTTACATGAAGATGCATCGAGATGTCGACGAAACCGACAAAGACGAGATGGACGATCACAGGGCATGGAGATGCACCGTTGCACACATAGATCTTGATGTGAGTGATTAGGCCTACTGGCTCAGGCCTAATCACATTAGGTTGTGGTCCATGATCATATGGTGTGATTGCTTATACACATACTAGATATGTATATATATTTGCATGCGATGTAGATATATATTAAATATGTATATGTGTGACATGTCATATTAGGGGACCAAATCATATAAACATCTCTCTCGATAATATTAAGTCGGTAAACGTGAGGCAATTAGATTGACCCACGTGGCCTTCCATCATTATAAGTAGGAACCAATTTCCGGTGTAGGTTGAGTCCCTCGAGACTCACTTATATTGCAATTTACTATCTTGCTTATGACATAGAGATGTCACCGGTGACCTGAGGACATGGTATGCTTAGTCGAGTCCCTCGAGGGTATATCATCAAATTAGACTCATCTTGTAACGAAGGTGTTGACTTAACCGAGCATCATGGTTGGTCGAGTCTCTCGAGACCATGGTGATTCAAAGGCCGAATAGGACGGGAATCACAAGGAGTTGTGATCGGCAAGAGTTGCTTACCTTTTAGGCTCAGTGTGATTGGTCGAGTCCCTCGAGGTTACACTAAGATGCTGATTGGATCTTGATCCCCACTAGAAGTCTACCGGAGACTTTCTTTTTATGTGCTGAGGATGTCGCGTGACTCATTAGTAAAATAGTGGGAGCATATTAAGATAGAAGTCCATATCTTGATAGTTTATTTTTTGCAAAATCTGCATGTTATTCATTTCTGCTACATCTTTATTTTCAGAAAATATCACATTCAAATCCCTTACGTGGCATACTTGATGTCAACCGCCTCACTAGTCCAAATTATACGGATTGGCTCCGTAACTTGAGAATTATTCTCACGACGGAGAAAATCATGTACGTCCTTGATATAGTGATGCCTACGCTCGAAGAAGGGGCAAGCGATGATGAGATCGCTCGCTACGTGAAGTACATTGATGACTCCATTCTTGCTCAGTGCTATATGTTGGGCTCTATGATGTTAGGATCGAGAGCACTAAGAGGGGGGGGGTGAATTAGTGTAGCGGATATTTTTCAGCGATTAAAAAAAACGAAAGCTGCGTTCGTTCGATAAAGACTATTTTGATGCAAAAGCTGATTCTAAGATTACTTATGATTAAGTACAGTTTACGTTTAAACACAGTTAGCGTCTAAACGCAGTTTGCGTCTAAATGCAGATTGCGTCTAAACTCAGATTGCGTCTAAGCGCAGTTTGCGTCTTAGCGCAGATTGCGTCTAAGCGCAG